GGCGCCGAGCCTGGAAGCCAATTTTTAACAGCCTGCATGATTTTTAAAACACTGAGTTACCGAATGGATCTTATCGAATTTTTAAAAGCAAGTGAGTAGCACGATAGCTGTGTAACACGTTAGGTGGGTTCAAGCCCTGCTCGAGCCTGCTAAAAACTGCAACCAAAAAATAGGCTTACGTCTGTAGTCCCAGCTACTTGGGAGGCTGAGGCGAGAGAATCACTTAAGCCTAAGAGTTGAGGTTGCTGTGAGCTATTATACTACAGCACTCTACCATGGGTGACACAGTGAGACTTTCAAAAAAAAGAAAACCCTTCCATTCCACTGCATAGATTTATCATAAATCCAAGGCTCCATTTTATACCGGATTATAAAATGTAGAGTTTTATGCTTTTTTTTTAAGACTCACTCTGTTGCCGTTGGTAGAGTATCATGGTGTCACAGCTCACAAAGGTCACCTCCAACTCTCAGATTTAAGCAACTCTCTTGCCTTAGCCTCCTGAGTAGCTGGGACTATAGGCACCCACCAGAACCCAAGGCCTTTTTTTTTTTTTTTTGCTGCAGTTGCCACTGTGGTCTTAGCTGGCTGGGGCTGGGTTGAACCCGCCACCCTCCGTATATGGGGTTGGAACCCAACCTGCTAAGCCATGGGTGCCACTCTAAAAACTAAATTCTAACCTGGACTCACACAACACACCCCAAGCCATATTTCTCACTGACTCTTTGCTCAGGTCTTTATTCAAAATAAACTGTCCAATATGATTTGACGTTTATGGAATAAACATTAAAAGTTTATGCAGTAGGCTTCTTTTCTTCTGTGGTAGGTTTCTTTTCTGCTGGCTTCTTTTCAGCTGCTGGTTTCTTGGTAGAGGCAGCCTTTTTTCCTACCAGAGGCTTTTTCTGCTTTTTAACACCAACAGGCTTTTTCCCCTTCTTCATTGCTACAGGCTTCTTGCCTGCAACCCCCTTCTCATCTGACTTGGCCTGTAGTCTTGCAGCTGCCTTATCCACCCGAAGTTTGTGCTGTAACAAATCAGGCAGAATCATTTAACAATCAAGTCTTTCCAAGAACTTAATATATTGGTAAAAAACAAATCATCTCTTACATTCCTGGCCTGGCGAAGAATGGTATTCCGGCGCATGGTCTTTGCATATGGGTTTAGCTTCAACATGATTCTCAGGTTTTTCAGTGGATTCTTCTTCAGGACTCTGCGATGAATCTTTTTGCTATACATGAACAGTAGACACTGTATTAACATTTTCACACACACGTTTTTGAAATAATGGTATTATGGTTAGGGCAAGAGCTACACTGTAAATATCAACTTTACCGTGGTGCACGAAGAGCTCTTTGGATCTCTGGGCTTTTCAAGATTCGGCTAAGGTCTGTGTTCATCATCTTGTGCATGGGAAGGCTGAAAGAAAAAAAATTGACAATGGATGTCTAGATTCCCATATATTTGGTTAAAGAACGTGAACCTCCAGAAAGGCTTTACTTTTTTTAACCATCTATACTCTCCAGAATTCAATCATTTCCACATTATCACTTCAGAATGAGGTAGAGTATCACTATGTTCCATCTATACATAAGGGGAAATAGAAAAAAAAAATACTATTTACAAAACATGAGAACCAATCCTGAATGTGTATAAACATCTATTTTCAGTACATGAAAAAAATACTCACTTGTAGTTACTCTTAAGGGAAGCAGCTTTACGCCAAGTGCCATACAGTTCATCTAACTTCCGGAAAGCACTTTCAGTCCAAATGCAGAAACGTCCCACATGTCCACCAGGAGCAAGTTTCAAAATGTTCAGCTTGCTTACATTAAGCAGAGTAATTCC